CAATAGACATTTATATACCGTTCGACAGCCCTTTGAAAGAGCTACATTTTGCCCTATTTCTATCTGAAAAAGGAAAAACTTCGATTTTCTGCCTAATGTCTGGCTGTATGCCCCCTGTGTTACGTGTCATAGACATGTACCGAAAGATGTGACTAGATCTCAACGATTGAATGTTTCAAGTTTCAAAGTTTTTTCGGCCAAAGATGTTTTTTAGTTCGGTGCTACGCATTGCACACAAAAAAGTACTAAAAAAACATTTTTCCAGAAAGGTGGTACGTTTCCCATGGATTCACCCATAGGATAGACGAAAAGAGAAAAAACGGTAACGCACAGAGATTCCGGTAGCAGAGTTACGCGTTTTGCATGCTTAGCAGAAACGACTTTATTAACAGAGATAGGGTTTCCGATTGTTTCTGATCAAGATGGGGAGCAGAGCTGGATAAGTTAAGTCATTTTTGCTTGACCTAGGAAATTTTTGATGACTCATGGCTTGACGTGACCTAACCTGGGAATTCTTTTAAAAGATTTGGCTTGACTTGTGACTTGGCATAAAAGATCAAGTCAAGTCATGCATATTTTTAAACCGCTTCTGGCTTCTGCAATCTAATTTTAAATAATAATTCATAATGATTTGGGAACGTTGATGTTATAATATGTAAGAATTTACGCAGAGTATCAAGACGCGCATTTTGCAATAGCATAGCAAGTCTGTGTTCTAATACCAAGGAATGGAGACTCTTTTATGCCGTTTTCTACGGAAAAAAAATTTCAAGTCATGAGTTGTGACTTGACTGGTTGTAAATTTTTATTACTCATGACGTGACTTGACTTTTGACTTGGAAAGCCCGTGACTTGCCCAGCTCTGGTGACGAGATTCCTTTGACGAACAGTCGTTCTAAAAAGTCGGTGGATAGTTTTTTTCTAAATAAAACAAACAATTGTTAACTGAAAAGAATTTTTGTTACTCCGTATCGGAATTTATTTTTTCAACGAAAATAATATTTAATATTCATCTAAGTCATTCTCTAGAAATAACGCTATATTTCGTTCTTTGGCTCGATCTGGATGAGAAATAAAAATTTTATAACAAAATTAGTAGCTTCTGGAATTACTGAAAGTTGTAAACCCGAAGCTCTGATACATGTTTCGAGGGTCACGTCTCCGATACGATTTCGTGTTCATGTTTTCACTCAACGAACTGTGCTAAAAACCCGTTCAGCTTCGTTTGAATCAACACCATATGTTGCCAATAACAAATACCATTTTGGTGTTAGTTCACTTCCATGTGAAATGATCTTGAAAATAAGGTGGGAAAGAGTAATGGTACTGTGATATCAGTCCTTACCGGTGTAAGAAATGATCGCATAACAGGTAAAGATCTCACATTCATCGATTGATTCCAGTACACGTTTTACACACCCATCTCTGATTTTATTCATATCAAATTCATTTTGATCTTGTGGTGGTGCCTGTAAATGAGTCGACTGACCCGTTGATATTATATTGGACGAAAATTTTTAAGAAAAATTTAATGCTAAAATTGGACTTAGAGATGATTATTTATTTATTGTAGATGTAAAAACAAAGTGAATTGTTGAAAAAAACACAATATATTAATCGGATTACCGATGAAACCCGGGATATTTCCGTTAAAAAAATAATGATAGTTTGTCTTGGTGATGACGAAAGAGATAATGGTCTGATAAACAAAGAATTGTTTTTACTACATGATCAAAGTGGAGAAGATATAGGATACAATAAACATATTTAATTCCTAAATTTTGCTATAGAGAACAAATGTTGTTTATTTAGGTATATTTAATATTATTGAAATATTTTATGATTTGTTCTATGATATCATATAATTATTGTTTGATACGAATCACCTGTGTTTTTATGTGATAGTCCAACAAGATTGAAAACATTATTTACAAGTCACCAAGCATTTCATTCTAGTAAAACAGGCATATAATACTTTTTCTTAATATTTTCTACATGCAATCAATACTAATACGTCAACCATAGCAACATAGGAAGAAAAACTATTATATACCTTTTTTTTGTCCCTATACAAGTCATAATATAAACTATTAGTTTATTACACGATTGTATCTGATGAGATCATGTCCTTATAATGTATTTCTACTATACCTGTGGTCACTCAAATTTTAGCGGAAAGGGACTTCGCTTATAGAATCATAGAACATATGAATAGATCATATAACTGTGCATTTCATCTTCTACGTGATAGTCCAACAAGATTGAAAATATTATAAAAATAAATTTTTTGTACAGCAGCAGTCATTTATTTAATTTAATAATTTAAATTTATTATGACGTTTCGACTCTTCATAGAGTCATTTTCAAAAGTGGAATACAAACTATATATAGTTAAAATTTAGATAAACAGAAAGATGAAACTAGTCTATACTTGCCATTTTACTACTGATCAGAAGAGAAAAGCATGATTTTTCTTTTACTTATTCTATTGACTTTCTTACTATTCATTCCTTTTCGTTCTTTCTATTTTCTTCAATGTGTGTAACCGTCTGGATCATATATTTTCTTATGATTCATAGACAAAGTATCAGGAAACACAACCAACGGTATCAATCGAACTATACCATTTAAATCAGGTTCCAGTGCTAAAATGGAGAGAGACTCCTTAATAAGTAAATGATACGGAATCCTGTCTCGCTTAATAATATTCCAGTTGTCCCAGTCAAAATTGTGATGCTTATCTGCACTATGTTTTTGTACAGCTGATTTTTCTCGAAGAATACATGCCTTATTAATAGTATAATCACCAAACATATCATCATCAGACACCTCCATTTGTTTTATCTGATGACTAATGCGTTTGCAAGCTTCAGTTTTAGCTATTCTCGACAAGTGTAACCTGATTGAATGCTTTAAATCAGTTGTACTGCTCTGTGGTTGGGATTGTAAAGTGATAGGTGACAATGGTGAAACATTCTGCAGAGAATACCTCGATAGACCATGCTCTTCAAGCCGTCTAATAGCTTGGCAAATAGTCTTCCCAACGTAATTTGATGGACACTCTTGGCATTTCACACCATATACAATGTCCGATTGTAAATAATTGGGTATTTTATCTTTAAGATTAAATGATGTTTGTACCGAGCGTGGTGGTTTTTCAATTACCAATAGCTAGCTCAATATCAGGTCGAATCTGAGTACTAAGTTTTCGTAGATCATTTCAAAACGCTTTAATAGCATTGTTAATAAATGGTACTTTAATATAAATTTTCTTCTTTTCATTATTGTTACTTTCATTACTGATAGTAGAACCAGTGTACCATTTACTAAATTTTATTCCAATTAGTTTATCAACAATCGAACGAGGATAGTCATTTTTCTTTGCTATTTCTTTAATATCATTCAATTCATTCTCTAGCAAAATATATGTATGAGTTGCTCAACGAATCATCCCAGTAATAACTGAACTTGATTTAAATGGTAAAATTGTAAGTATATATAGGCTAGTTTCATCTTTCTGTTTATCTAAATTTTAACTGTATATAGTTTGTATTCCACTTTTGAAAATGACTCTATGAAGAGTCGAAACGTCAAGATAAATTTAAATTATTAAATTAAATAAATGGCTGCTGTTGTAAGGTGCACGTAATGTAAAATTTTAGCAGATTTTATTTTTTAATAAAAGGCACATATTTTGATCCGCTAAATCATGCTGATCACGAATATGACCTTAAAAGTTAAAAAAAACCTTTTCTTCGGAGAGAAAACTGCAAAATACTGAGAGCCTCCAGAAATTTCCAAAATTTCTGATTTTTCGAAAAATCCTCATAACTTTTTTTTGAAAGCACCTATCGACTCAAACTCCATCGAAGAGAGAGTTGGAGCATGCGAGTAGGCGAATCGTGACAGGTTTTTCGTCGTTTTTTGGCAGTAATTAGCGATTTTCTCCTTGATACGGTGATCAATTCTGCGAAGCGACAGCTAGAACCGATGGCACTTCTCCAGATCCACTTAGAACCAACACGAGCTAAGCTGGAAGCAGCTTGTGGGCGTCAAGAAGTACTCGAATCCTGACGTAGGGTATCCTATGTTTCTCATTCCCGCAGCTTTTTTCCATCGAAATTTTTTTCCGAAGTGGTGAAACCATGTGTGAGAAAAATAGTCTTTTCACAGGCTGTTGGCACGTTAAATGTATACCCCCAGATTTTTATTCTTTCAGCATTATTTTTGTGGACGTTTTATTTTCGAAAAAGGACAATTCACATGCACTCGCTCACGTGTTTTAACCTTTTTATTATTTTGCGTTCTTGACAGTTCATAATTACAAAGCAGAGGTTAATCTACTCATTCATGTCGTTATTCGGAAAAGAGAAAGTATATGCATGAATATTGAACAGAATGGCGAAATTTGTATATATTGCACCGTTGATACAATTGAAATTGACATGCCTATTATCATCGTAGAGATGAGCCAAAATCGATCATTTCATCACTACTATAATCTTATTTTCTCAAATTTTCACAATTCATACGGCAGTCGGCTGTCATGAACATGTTGCACTTCAATATATCTATCAGTTCCACTTTGGCTAAAAAGAAAAGATAATTATTGTAGAGATAAAACAAAAGTAACCGGAACAGAGCAATTAGAGAACAATTATGACAGTACAAATAGTCTGTATTTTTCTCATTCTCTTCTAAACACGAAGTTAGTAAAGTCGTATCGTTTATAAGCGATGCATTTATTTTTAAACAAAAAAGAATTTCAACGGGTGAGTTCACCTCCTCATGTTCTAACATATGTAACTGAATCTTGTTTCAATCAGATTGTTCCACTTGCCGGTCAATTTATTGAAGGAAAGTTATCACCATCATCCACAAGTTTAAAACCAATTTGTGCTGCAAGTCAAGCCATTGAAATTGAGTCCGCTCATGTATGTTTTGTTTAAGATTGGATTTTACATGTCTTCTAAAAGTCGTTTTTCATAGTTTGTAGAAAATATGACGAAATTCTATAACATGTTAGTTGAATATGAAGAAACAAAAAATGAAATGAGATTAAAAGAGCAAGAGAAACTTGAAGCGTTATTTGAACGGAACGATCTTATTTCACTAAATATTCGTGGTGAAGTTCTTTATACCTCTCGTTCGACCCTCGTTCGTATACACGATACAAAATTATCCACAATATTTGAAGATAAAATGAGCGTGGAGGAGTTAAAACAAGATGGTGACGGGCACATTTTCTTTGACTATAACCCAAACTTGTTACGTGAACTGTTGACAATAGTTGCTGATTGTCCAGACGATCATGACGATAGACGCAATGGATTATTTCGTTCATGCTCTGATGAACTGAAGATATTTGCTCGTGAATTAGGCTTTCAGGATTATTATATTGACGGTAGTCAAAATTCAACCGAACGATTTTCGAAAGTAATTGGTTATGGTGCTGTTTTAACTCAAGATAAATGTTGTGCGAGTCATACAAACAAATGTTGGTGGAATCAGAGTCACCCAATCGTCATAGGTATGTCAATGCTGAACTAATTGTGTGCATTAAGCTACAATTGACAATTGTTACGAACTATATAACTTATCTTCTTGTCTACGTATGTGATAGTTGTACAAATTATTAGCATGTAATATGGGCAGAATACCTCTGATACCGTTAGCTCCGAAAATGTTAAGCAAACCTTTCTCTTCTAAATGAGATGTTGTTGAGCTCTGCGCTGTGTCTCACTCAAAAGTTAGAAGGCTTTGTCCTAGAGAATTAATAACTACTTCTCTTTTGTCTAGATCGATTTTTGTCTTCGTAGCTTTTCGCAATTCCAAGATTCCTTTGCCATTTTAAGAACCAAAAGCTAGACTAGGTCTTAAAGTTCACCCGATCCTTTTTCTTGGACATACCGAGCCCGTTTATGACTCGTATTTTTGTCTGAGGTTCACGAACGAGAGACAAAAATAATAAGTTCGCTAACTTTTGGGACATGTTTTCTTTACCTCAGACAAAAATGAGAAACTTAAACGGACTGTCCATGAAAAAAGAATTGAATGAATTTTCAATTAAATAAATTAATTGAATAATTTTAACTCAAGCTTTTAGCTCTTAAAATAGAAGAACAATCTTGCAGTTGCGAAAAGCTACTTTTTGAGTAGTATTTTTAAGTCTGATAAAACAGTTTAAAAACTATTTTAAATAAGACTGCTGTTCTATGAAAACCTTTGCTGAACCTTTTTGCTACTCGTTTTGTTGAATTTGAAGAGTAGCTTGCTGGTTGTAACGGTACAATGAACTATTTTAAGCGGTACTTTTAAGCACTATTAGCTTAAAAAAAGAAAACGGAAATCTAAGGAAAAGAAATCTAAAACGTTTTTTCTCCACTCTTGCTACAGTTGCGCTATCTTGTTTTAACTTGTTATCTCGATTTTGTAAACATTGAAAGTTTAAGGCTATAAAAACATGCTCTTCAAAAATGATGCTTTATTTTGTTTTTAGGTAAAAACTTGTACACTCAGGGTATTTCTCGTCTACAATTATTTGTTGCCAAACGTCATAGTCGTATGTTTATCGGTATTGTTTCATCATCGTTTGTTAAACAATCTTCTTTGGATGACAACAATTATTCTTATCCGTCTATTTATGGTTGGAATGACAATTCACTCATATTCAATGGTTATGAACATCCACACATTTCAAATGTTGGTGATTTTCTACGAGAAGGCGATACAATAGAAATGGAAATAAATTGTTTAGACAAAACAATTTTAGTTTTAAACAAACGATCTCGTCGACATTGTAAAATATTAGTCGATATCAATCACTGTCCATTTCCATGGATGTTACGTATTCGACTTTTTCATTCTAATGATCAAATTTGTCTATTATGATATGCATAGTCGTAGACTCTTTTTTTGTTAGTCTCTGATGGAGGCAGGCGAGATGTATTAGGTGGTGAAGTCTGTTATTCATAAGACGTGTGTTAAACAAAAAACAGACTCTAATTTTCGGGTAGGTCAGTTCTAGTCTCTGAGTATACTCGAAGCTCGGTGCATACCTAGTCGAATCTGTTAAATAAAAATAGGATAATTGTACCTTACTGCTTATCACTAGCAATTACAAGCGAGACCACAAAAACTAGTAACAAATAATACATCATCTGAATCTACAACGAACACCATGTGACTTACGAAGGGAAAATTAGTAGCAGATTGCATGTTTTTCAAGCCCTATTGTATCAGAATGCTGGCGATTGGCAGATTCAGCAGTGAAGTTGAAGGATTGAAATCCATGTATTTTTGCTCAGGATGTGTTTCTTTATGAATTTTCCGATAAAGTCTTGTTTTCATTCAGTCACATTAGAATTCCTTGAAAAAATAGTCTCATCGAGCTCAACTTTGTACCACAGATACTTTATACTCTATGGGGTTCTGAAGCGGTTTTTAGAAGGAAAGACTGACTTTTGCAAACTTTTACATTTGCTTGTTTTAGCACCTTTCGAAGAAAAGTATATTTTTTGAAAAAAATTGCAAAATGAAATGGATCGGCGCTATCTGTGGTTATAAGTTGAGCTCGATGGGAATCTTAATGTGACTGGATGAATATAGCTTAGAAGACTACGCCTTGACATGGGTTGTTTGAAACTTTTGAGTAGGTAATTATTTATCATCCTGTCCCTGATGTTATTCAAATAAAAAATATTTACTTTTGAATTTGTGTGAAGCGGGAGAAATGGTCTGTCAGAAAGCACTTGACGAGCTCTATCGAATAGTATACCTTACAGCTCAGACACATTTCCAGATTATTGGTTTAAAGTTTTGTCATTTAAATGATACCAACCATTTTTTTTGATCTCGAAAATGAGATAAATATTAGTTTATGCAGTAAAACCTTTTCCATTAAGTAATTCCTAACACTTGTAACATATGGGGCAAAAGGAATGGTAATAATGTCAAACTCTGGTAGACCGTATTGCCGACTTCTAAACCAATGAAACTATTTTGTTGAAAAGAGCAAAGTCTGAACTACCAGACATAGTTTCCAGAATGAATCTGTGAAGGAGGCAAGATGAAAAACCAAACACCTCTGAAAAATTCCTTGCAACTTCGCTTTGGAGCAACATCATTTTCCATTTTCTATTAGGTTTTTTTCATCTGAAGAGAAATAAGAAAACACGTTAAATTATGATTTTTATAGCATAAAGAGTGCTGTTTCTAATGGCATATTGAAAGTTAAAGTTACTCTTGATTTTTGTACAAACTACAGCTTTTTCTGAAAGAGACTAAATAAGTTGGTCGTTCTTACTACCTGGCTCTTTTGCAAAGATAAAAAATCTTTTTTGAATTATTTTTTTTTTGCAAAATTTCTACGATCGAACATATTTCTAACAAATAACGCAAAAAGAATTGAGTTCATGCATGATTTCTGAAGATGATGGCTGATTTTCTTGGAAAGTGGTAGTTTTGGACAAGACTCGGTTTTACTTTAAAAGTTCATGTTTAAAACGTTTTTGACTAAAGAGTCAAGAACGGATCTAAAAATTTTACCAATGTTGAGATCGATAGAGTTTTTGATCCGCTACATTTTGGTGTATTTTTCATTCAACTTTGATACATGGAGCTCGAAATAATACATCATCTGAATCTACAACAAACACCATGTGACTTACGAAGGGAAAATTAGTAGCAGATTGCATTTTTTTCAAGCCCTATTGTATCGGAATGCTGCCGACTTACAGATTATGCCAGTTTATGCGTGCACCGAATAATTCTCTAATTCATAATGCCGCATATGAGAGTCTCGCTTGACTCCCATCATGGAGAGGACACTTTGGACTATCTATCCATAAAAGAAAACCAAACTATTTGTATTTCAGGTGTTTGAGCAATGGCGTGGTTTTCTAAAGCTCTCCCGAAAAAGATGCTTTAGGGAAAGGTTTTGAAAATGGCTTTCAATTTGAAAAGGTGCAGTTAGGTCCTAGGTTTCGATTAGTGAAGATCGCAAGCATCTAGGACTTTTCTGTCAAGCGTTATTTAAGAAAACATTCGAGTCTATTCTTTCTTTTACCGACAATACGCCGGTTTTCTCAAGAGTTTTTAAGTTTTTGATTTCTTCCTGTGGACATACAAACATTTTAGTTTATATGACCCTGACTAACGTCAAGGGAATTAGACCGATTTTTGAAAGAGTAGGACAGATTTCAATGTTTAAAACGCTGCTATCGATATGCTTGTATTCTTTGAGTAGACTTTTGTTCGAATGTAAAGTTTTTATTTTGAAAGCAATTTTGAAAGTCTGTATTCTCAATTTAGTAGAAACTTTTTTATTTGAACAAAATAGAAAGAGTAACAACAGCGAACACAGTCAGGCATTTCCATGTTTTTGTTCGGTATCCTCTCGTTTCGTCCCGTATTTGTTAATTAGCTCTCGTTTCGTCCCGTCTCATTTCGTCCCACACTTGTTTCGTCCCCTCTCGTTTCGTCCCACACTCGTTTCGTCCCGTTTACATTTTC